GCAAGTCTTTAGAAATGCCACAACTGCCACAGATGACAGGAACAAAGAACACCAGCACAAAGGCTGTGCCCATATTTATGGGCTCAGCACCTGAAAGCCATGATAAGCATTTTTCTTGCTGATAACATTTTCAGCACTCTTCTCCATTTCTGCACAAGTTCAAATAGGAGTGATATCATTCTTCCTATTAGGAAAACTAGACTAGTAAGAGGACAGGAAATAGATTTATATAAAATTGTGAGCTAAAACCAATAGAGATGATTCCAAGTTCCATGCAGGCTGCACAGCTGCCTTTTGGTTAGGATTGACAAAAAAAAAAAAAAAAAAAAAAGCAGAAGACCACAAGAGAGAAAACATTAGCTGTTTTTTCCTCTTCAAACTCATTTCACCCTTCAGGATTCTCAGTTACTGATGTCAAAGCAGACTGCATCTTCTTTGATCACTGCACTGTTTCATAACCAGTTCTTATTTGAACTGCATAGGTCATTATGTCCAAGGCAGACAAGCAAGAATCACAGAAAAAGCTGAGTTGGAAAGGACCCATCAGGATCATGGAATTCAACTACTGACCCTGCACAGGACCCTCCATGAATGTCACCATGTGCCTGAGAATGTTGTCCGAATACTTCTTGAACTCAGTCAGGCCTGATGCTGTGACCCCTTCCCTGGAGAGCCTGTTCCAGTACTCAAGCACTCTCTGGCTGAAAAACTAGATTGCAATCTACTACAATATGGAGAGCTCTAAGATACTCTACCTTCCAGTCTGGCAAAGATTCTCTGCTGCAACAAGACAGAAAGGAATAACCCAGGGATGAATAAGAGATAATTTTCTGAGACCTGTTATGTTGACCAGTGTAATTTCAGTTATAATGCTGAGACCAAATGGGAAAAAAAGGAAAAAAAGAAAAAAATTGTCTCCTGCAATACTCATATTGGTTTGGCAGTGAAATTAGACCAGCAAATGTTCTCCCTTGGTCACCACTGCCTTGTTAATTTGTCTTATTCTCCTAATCTTTGGATCCTTTTCATGATGTAAACTCAAACCTACGTATGGGTTCTGGATAGCTCTCAGGACCAGACACAGATTATTTGAGTCCCTTTTATTACTACTTTTATCTATAACACTGAAAATATCCCCATGTTGGTGCCAAATATTCCTGATCTTAGCTAGCTTCTTCAGCCTTTAATTAATACATGAATATTTGCAACTTTCAATGAAGTTGCAGAATCATAGGCTATTAATTCAAGATCAGAAATTTCAGTTTCTGCTTTTACCAGAGTAGTTCATTTTACAAAATGAACTACTGTCACAAAAGTGGTCATTATGGAGAAGCAGCACCTCTTATCTGCTTTCATTGAATACTTGAGACTATCTCACAGAAGTGTCATTAAACATTTAAATGAAATTTTTACATTTTAAGCATTTTAAATGTTTTTGACCATTTTAACTTGCCATCCTATCCATTAAGGTTTTCCCCTGAAACATCCACTGAATTAAACAGGAAAAAATTAAATTATAAAAATAGTTGTCTCCTCTAATAGTTAGAACTCAATCTGCTCTTTTGTATCAGCTCCTCTGACTATCAAAAGACTACCAGGGTGCTGAGGTAGGCTTGCAATCACTTCTATTTCATCCAATCATCTGTGCTTACAGAAAAGTGAAAAGCAGGCATATGAATTCTTCTCAACCTTTTAAACCATATATTTTTATATTAATTGCAGTAGTATATGTCTTCATCTCAAAACACAGAACCATGTCTGAAAACATGAAAATCCTCCCCTTATATTCTGAAGTACATGGAACAATAAAAGCTTCTGTTTCCCAAAGAACTAACATTCTGAGAGGTCTCTTCAAAAAAACAAAGAGAAGAGTGATATTATTGCAATATCTGTAGATATGGTGCAAATGAAAACTTTTAAATATTAGACAAATAATTAAATACCTTAATATAAGTAATTATGATTTCTTTCCTCTAAACAAATTGTCAATTCTTCAAGTTGACCTAAACTCCAATTGTTACAAAATTTGCAGTTTTGTCAAAAAAAAAAAAAAAAAAAAAAATAGTTTGAAGGACAGAGGGAATGTGACAGTGACCTCTTTGAGAATTCTTTCAGTGCGAAGGGCTTACAAGCGTAGATGTATTTTCCCTTTGATAAGCCATGAATTGCTTCCTAAGGGGATTCCCACTCCATTAGCCCACAAGAATTCAAAATTTCAATCAGCTTTGACATCTTACAAAACCATTCTGCTGCATAACTCATGTATTTTTCCTCTCCCACCTTCCAGTCCACTGCTGCTCCATAAAACATTTGGGAGTCCAACTTCTCCCCCTCTTTTCAGTTCCTCTGACTACCACAAAGAGAAGCCAGCCACAGAGCAGCTCCAGTTCTCTACAACACAATTAGTATTTTCTTCCTCTCTGACATCATGGCTTGTAGCTTGTTGAGGAAGAAAATGTTCTGGTGAACTAAAATATCTTCAGTAAAACACATCTGTACACATAAATTACGACAGATCCCAACCATTTATGACTTAGATGCAGAATATATGTCATGAAAAGCTGCTAACAGGTAAGGTGGCTGAGCTTCAATAAGCAGCATTTAGCCTTCCTCCTCTCCACACACACAGTCAGCCTTGACTTAGATGCATCTATTTCACTAGACACAGTAAAAAGGTGCAAGTACAGTGAAATAGTCTATCATAATATGCAAATGTCATGAACATACAGCATATTATTAGATGAATCATCTGCCTGTAAACTTGGGTGTTCTTAAGTGCTTTGAGGATCTTCTCTTCTTACAACTTACATTTTCACTATACTGCCAGGAAGCTTGTTGGTTTTTAGATAATATCTGACCTTCTGTCTCTCCATTCCAGACAGTAACATTTTAAGGAGCAAATTCCTGGGAAATCAGCATTACACCTGCAGGCTGATAGGCTGAGATGTAAAACTTTCTTACTGCCCTTCACCATTTTCTATATTATCTTCCCCAGGATCCTTCTGACCAGCACAGCAGCATTTCAAGATGGACATAAGAAGTGCCACAGACAAGGAACAACTTCATTATTGCAGGGTTTTGACTTAAGCTGGATGAGCTCACAACACCACTGGATACAGTTAGGGCAGCACAGCACTGTAGATGGAAAGAGCTGTAGTCTCACAAACTCATGTAAGTACCCAAGATTTTTGCATTGTTAAACCACATCTTGGAAGGGGCAACTACAGTATTTGTGTCTGAGACAACAAGAGGGACTAGTTTGAATATGATTCTTTTTTCCCCTCAGGGTTGATCAGATCTAATTAACCTACACCAAGAACACTTTTGGTACATACTGTTGATTTCATTTCATTCCTGGTACAAAGGAAACTGAACACATACATAATTCCCAATAGCTGAGCAGAAAGATTAAGTCAGAAATTTAAAGTCTCATCACTAAAGGCTCTGATTCTGAATAAGGTACTGCATAAGCCTTGCTAGTGAGACAATGTTCTTCCTAAGAAAGTACCCATTGGCAAGAAACATTTAAGTAACAAAGTAAAACTACAGCTGCATACATTATGTTAGATGTTATAAGTTTCACTTATAAAGATGTAGAAACTGCACTCTGCTATTTAAAGCATGTTTCAATTACTTGCAATTAGGGTCTACTTGATATGTGTGTCCTGCACCAGCATCTCAAAGATCTAAGATGTCTAAGTGGACATCAGCATCATTCTCACTTGGAAGACTACACCAGATCCCTTTCAGCAGGAAAACAGTGACAGACAAGAAAGTTCAGAACTCTAACCCTATAAATATTATATATTTCCTATTTTTTAAATTTATTTGAACTATTTGAATAATTGGCAGACTTGTCAATATTGTAGGAAGAACATAAGTAAAGGAGAACCACAGAATGATAGGTGAACTATATAGAACTATTTAAGTATAGAAGCAACAACTGCACCTTGAAAGTGTTTTCAAGTTAAATAGAAGATAGTGAACAAGAGGGAGCCAAATAGCCTAAAAACACAATCAACAGGAAACAATTCCTGAAGATTCAGTGGTCACACCAGTGTGGACATTTTGTAGTAATGACTGCAGAGAGAAGTTTTAAGCACTAAGGATGAAGAGAGAGATGATTTTGCAAGTATTTAGGTAACACCTGATAAGAAAGGAGATGCAGAAAAATGTAGCAATGTTCCCTGAGGAAAAAAAGGAAAACATTCCCTAATCAAGGGACACCCAACACAAGGAAATCCCAGAGAGTACCATACAGGATACCACTGGCCTTAGCTCTGGGGTAATGCTAACCATTTCTAAAAGCATCATCCACTGAGAAAAAGCTTGATGGTCTCCCAGTAACAGCAGAAGAGTGAACTAAGGAAACCAGCACATTTTTTTGTTTGTTTTAGAAACAAACTTGCACAGTTATTTTATGACGCTTCTTCCAAATCAACGGTTTGTCTTCCTCTGAAGTGGCTCCTTCAGAAGTGGAAGAGTTACCAAACTGTAAAACCTGTGAAGAGAGAGAGATCCCACTAACAGAAGTAAAAAACAAATATTCAAACTGGTTTTCATTTTTGTTCACACGGGCTTTATTATTAATGCAGTTACTAACAATTTGAAAGATTAATACATTTAAGTGACTCCAGCAGTTTTGCAGCTCTTTCCCAATTCATACCACTGCAACACGACGAAACGCTGAGCCGCTTTAGTGCCTCACTTTGCCAGCCGGAGAAGCAAGGGCAGCATCCACCTACCTCACGATGGCAGATGAACCTTCTAGAGCGTTTGATAGCAGCAGAACAAAGATGCGGGATCCGCGCACGTTACCGCCGCCCCCGCCGGCCGCCCCGACCCTTCCCGGGCGGGCGGGATCGCGTTCCGACAGCCGAGCCGCCCCTCGCCCGGCGCCGCCCGTGCCCTCCCCGCCGCGGTGACAGCCCGGGGGAGGCGGGCGCGCCCCCCACCACCGCCCTCACCCCCGCTCCCCGAGGGGGCGGCTCCGGACTCACCGATCCCGGGGGCCACATAGATGAAGTAGAGGCAGGATGAGGAAAAGGAGAAGAAGAAGATGAAGGCGAGCATGGAGCGGTTGGAGACGCGCAGCGCCTTCCGCAGCAGTGGCATCCTCCCGCCGCGCCGGCCGCCGGCCGCTCCGCTCAGTCCCGGCGAGCCGCGGCGGCGCTTCCTAGGGGGAGGCGGCCCGCTCCTCCCATGGATCGGGCGGCGAGAAAGTGACGAGGGGGCGAGGGGAGCCCCCGCCCTCCCTCCCCGGGCGCGGGGCTGGCAGGAGCAGCGGCGCGGCGTGCGGAGGAGGGCGGGCGGCGGCGCTTTGTGGCCGGTCCTGCTGGCTCCTCGCGGGCGGCTGGAGCGGCGATGCCCGCCCGCCTCCGCGCTGCGCCTCCGGGCGTGCTGAGCCGCTGCCGGAGGGAGGGGCCCCCTTAGCGCTGCCGCGGGGCTCGGGGAACGCTCCCGCCGCTGCTCACATGCCGCCGGGCGCCGCGGCCACCCGCTCTCCCGCCTGCAGTCCCCGTACTAGCGGCGGCGGCGGCCGCGGCAGCAGCAGCATCCCCGCTGCGGGCGAGCAGAGTCACCTCCGCGCTGCGCCCGGCCCGGCCCGGCCCGGCCCCACCGCTCCCGCGTCTCCCCGCACCGGGAGGAGCCGCCCCGCACCGGGAGGAGCCGCGCGGCCGCTGCGGCGGTTGTGGCGCGCGGGCCCCGCGGGCCAATGGGAGGCGAGGGAGAAGCGAGCCCGCGGCCGCCGATTGGCTGGTGCGCGCGCACCGTTGGTATCAGCGGGTTGCGGGAAGGGGGCAGGGAGCCGTGAGGCGGTGGGGCCGTGAGGCCGGGCCCCGAGTCCCGCCCGCCCGGCGCTCCCGCTGTGTCCTACCGGCGGGCGTGGATGCCTTCTCCGTGTCCAGTCAGCTCGGCATTGTGCAGAACACGGCGGGGCCGGGCTCCTGCCCTGCCCGTGCCCACTTTCGAGCGCTGGTGCCCGTCCTTCCCCTCCCTTCTTCATGCGGCGCTGCCCCTGTGCCACGGGTGGATGTCGTGGTGCTTCCAGCTGTTTTAATGCAGAGCAGTTGGGAACGGGAATCAGGGCTGGCAGCTTCTCTCCTATGAGAGGCTGCGGGAGCTGGGCCTGCTTAGTGTAGAGAAGAGGTCTGGGAGTGGAACTCGTTAATGCATATGCACATCTCAAGGGTGGCTGCCAAGAGAATGGTGCCGGACTCTTCCCAGTGGTGCCCAGCGACAGGACAAGGAGTAAAGGCCATAAACTAAAACACAAGCATCACCACAACATGAAAAAGAGGAAGAACCTCTTTACATTCCGGGTGGCCAAGAACTGGAGCAGGTGCCCAGGGGCGTCATGGAGGCTCCCTCTTCGGAGAGTCATTTAAAGCCCACCTGGATGCAGGCCTGTGTAACCTGCTCAAGGTGGCCCTGGCTTGGAAGATGGTCCCTCCCAACACTAACAATTAAGTGATTCTATCTTTCTGTCACCCAACAGTCCTCCAGAGAGCAGAATAGGAAGCATTGCCTGAAGGTTTGGCTAAACTTGTGCTTTAGGATTTGCTGAATTTAAGTGTTATGTTCTAGGCACTCCATTACCAGTTCACTCCCAAGGCCATTGCTTTAAAAAGGCATTTTTTAAAAGTTGGCAACAGAAGCGCCATGTAGATTCTCTGCTCTTTCTTGCTTTGGCAATGAACTTGGCTAACACAAGTTGCTGGGTGATAGGGTTAGGTGATAGGGTTAATCACGCTGCTCCTGTGGAGAATGCTGCCATGGATAGATGTGTGCCAAGGGGTTGGCAGTAGGCCATGTCATGCCTGGGCACACTTGATGTAGCAGCAGGATCCATTTGCAGAAGAATCCAGGTCTGTATTGTTAGTATGTGTGCCGTTTAGTCAGACAAAAAAAAAATGGAGATACGCAATTGCCCCACTCCCTGCAATAAAATTTTGTCTCAGTTGCTATACTTGTACTATGATTTTTATGTAATAGATATTACTAATAGCTTGAATGGATTGGGTTGAAAGGGACCTTGAAAACCTTCTAGTTTTGCTCATCCTGCCATGGACAGGGACACCCATCCTGCCATGGACAGGCTCAGAGCCCCATCCAACCTGGCCTTGAACTCTTCCAGGGATAAAGCATTCACAACTTCACAACCTCTTCCAGTGCCTCACCACTCTCCTGTTAAATGTTAGCTATTTCTAATATCTAATCTAAACCTGTTCTCTTTCATTTTGAGGCCATTCTCCCTGGTCCTTTCAATACATGCTCTTCATCCTGTTTCAGTAGTAACACAAATTATTTTGTTCACCCACCACAGCTCAAGGTCAAGTAAAGTTTATCCTTTAGACTGACAGAGCAACCTTGTAACTTCCTTCAGTCACAGGCAAACTGCTTTGAAACACTCTGCAGGCTAACATACCAGTATTTGTTAACCACAAATGTAAAACCTCGAATCAGTTGACATGTAAACGTCAGGGCTAGAAATACAAAATGATTGGCTAATCAGTGAAGTAGTGATGCAAATAACTGATAGTAAAAGCAAAAGCAAATGTTTACTTAGTCAAAATCTTGCTGGATGTTGAACATTTATTTGCACAGTGAAATACAGTGCACCCAATAACATGCCACATCATGGGCTTCCCTGATTATCACTGATGCAGAGCACAGACAAGGATTTCCCAGTAAGCGTTTTCATAGGAGAGAGAGAAATTCTGTTCCTTCAGCTCTGAAACAGAGACTTGTCAGTTATATGGATGGATGGTATTGCAATGGGTGTCTGTGCAGGTTTTAGCTGGGGTGGAGTTAATTTTCTTCACAGTGGAAGAAAATGTGGAATATGTTTTGGATTTGGGCTGAACACAGGGATGGTAATACAGATACCTATTTGTTACTGCTGAGCAGGGCTTGCACAGAGCCAAGGCCTTTTCTATTTTTCTTACAGCCACCATAGTGAGGGGACTGGGGGTACATGGGAGGTAGGAGGAGACAGCCAGGACAGGTGGCCCCAAATGACCAAAGTGATATTCCAGACCATATGACACCATGGTCAGTGTACAAAGTTGAAGCAAGAAGAAGGAAGTGAGGGATATTTGGGGTGACGGTGTTTGTCTTCCTGAGTAACCTTTACATGACGGAGCCCTGCTGTCCTGGAGATGACTGAACACCTGCCTACCCATGGGAAGCAGTGAATCAATTTTTTTTTTTTTTTTTTTGCTTTGCTGGTGCACACAGAAATTGCTTTCCCTACTAAACTGTCTATTTCAGCCCAGGAACATTCTGACTTCCACCCTTCTGATTCTCCTCCACTCCCCCAGCTGGATCCCACTGTGGGGAGGATGAGTGAGCAGCTACGGTACCAGATAGAGGGATGGATTGTGTGATGTATTTTGTCACAAAATTGTTTCTGAATTGCCAGTAACAGCTATGTAACTTGATATATGTAATTTATTTTATTGAGCAGAATGCAAAACTAGCCATAGGAATACAACAATGAACAGTTATTTACATATATTATTTAAAATTGAAGCTTAAGCTGACAGTAATGTAGGACATTATCTTGGGTTTATGGAGCAAAAATGTATTGTATTTTATGTCTTATTGCTGTCTCACAAAAGTCTCATTAAAGTAAAATTTATTTTATATGTGATAAGGCATTATTGCTACTTTATTTTTATGTATTAAAGCTATTGATTTACTCTGCTAACTGGAATAACTGAGTATTAATTGGGTCATGATTCTCCCACATTCCACTTTCATTAGATTTTTTGGTACAGTTTTAGATCTGTTTCTATGCTGTAAGCATAGGGAATGACATTAGAAGATCAATATGACAACCCACGGAATCTTGTCAGATACAGGAGTGAGATCCATGGTACAAAGAAATCTTGAGACTGACCTTAACTTTTGTGTGGAGGAACATTAAGTGCTGCCCTGCACAGCACTGTCTCTGCATAAGTAAAGGCAAATGCCATGTCCCCAGTTCAACATGAATTTTGGTTTGATCACTTGGACTGTTAGGTGCACTTTTGTAAGAGTTTAAGAGACTACTGTGATGAGCATGAGACAGCCTATAGAGTAGTATATTAACTCATATATATAGAAATATTTGTGGAAGCATAAAAAAATTGAATTTTGGAAGATAGATGTATCATGTTTAATTGAATCTCCAGCAGCAGGACACTGCAGGAGCAGCAGCATAAATCACAGTTGTGTAGATGACTTCGTGCAGGTGTCTGCTCTGATCATGATACTTGAAACCTCTTCTTTAAATATTACTTTCTTCAGTAAAAAGACTACTGCACAATATGTAGATTCCTTTTTTGAATAATCAACAATATTGCACTTCACTTAGTATTGTAAGAAGAGGAAATTCCATTGGATGTGTATTGCTCTGCTGTTTCCTCTTGCAATGGAACTTCTTCAGTAGGTTCTTAAACAATTATAGGTTATTCTGGAAGAAGATGAGGATTCCTCCCTCATTCCTGTTTTCAATCTAAGCATCCCAGAGTGAATTTTCTATGGATCAGCAAGCACAAAATCAAACAAGATCTCATCAGAGCAACAGCTGCAAAACCATCAATGTCTCCAAAGCTGCTATAAAAAACACATCTGTCAGTCATTTCAAAAGTTCATATATTTCTTGAAGTCCAACAAATGCTGCCATAGAAACTGTATATGCAAAATTAACAGGTTTCCCATACTGCATGGGCACAGTTGTGCAAGACAATGTTCTAATGTTCTGTTAACAAAATCTTTAATATGGTCTTTTGGAGAAAAGTCACGGCCTTTTTTTTTTTTTTTTTTTTTTTTAATAGGTGAGGAGGGAGAGGTTTAGTGATTTTTTTATCTGGGTCCCTTCTGGAACCCATTTGAAAGAGTGACACCTCACAATATTGTGGCTTTATAATTGTGGACATAGGGTGCTGTAAGACATCATGCAGGAAGGAATGCCAGAAGACCTTGAGGGAAGCAAAAGTATCTTACACAACTGCTGTCATCAAGTGAAAGAACTGAGCCTGATGCCAGCATCTCTGAAGTTGTGTTAGAGACTGTCCTGAGGGAGGTAGAGAGTAGTGCATTGCTTAGATCATTTGTTAGAGGTGGCTGTTAAAAGAAGACACA